ATTTCACAATCAGGAAATATTCCTTATAGAATCATTTTGTCTTCTAAGTGTTTGGGGATTCTTGTCTTTTTTTGAAGTCGTGGCTTCTTATAAAATCATGATCTCACTTTTGAACCACCAGTCATCCTATCCACAAAAATTAAGTAGTCTTAAGGCCTATTTAGTGATCATAATCTTACAGTTCAAATCCCGGGGAGGGTTCTAACTATAAACAGGCAGCACGCCCCTTTGATTTCATAGTGGAAATTCACACCAGGATCATGGTGGTATGACGTTGCCAGCATGGCTTGAGCTCATCATAGTTTCTGTTACCCGGAAAACGTCAGCGCAAACCATGTTCGACTTCGTTAAAGATCTCCAGTGGCGAGCTTTGGCCAAAAACAGTTGCACTTCGTAATAAATATATATATATATATAGTGTACATAAGATAGATAATGATGTGGTTTAATGTGTTTTATGATTCAGCTTGCGCTTAGTAGTTTATCCCCTTTGAGCTTTGGTTTCATTATTTTAGTCTGTGAAATGTTCTTATAAGGTGTTTTGACTTTACGTATCATTTGCGTTGTGATTTTACACGAAAGAAACTCTGTAGACTACATACCGGGTCGCGCGTGGAAATACTGCTTGCGTGCGTAGCTCCCTGCAGTCTAGCAGCCACCGAATATGTGGAGGCACAGCACGGCCAATTGCAAGCTCAAACCTCGCTTGAACTTTGCAGGGATGAAGGACTTGAAAGCAACTGATGTCTCGAAGTCTTGCTTTCCAAGATCTGGGCCAGCTGAAAGGATGTAGGACTGGCACGATGCGACTGAAGAACCAACCTGATGGGCACGTGTTCCAGGTCTCATCTCATTAGCGCGCTGAACAGAACTTATTTTTTTGGATCTTGGCTCAGGAAAGCCTGCTGAAATGCTTCAATCCAATCTGAGGCCCAGCAATGATACAGGTCGCCACAACCCCTAAGACAGGAGTGAACTTTGCTGCCCTGGCAAATGAAGGGTTGAATGTCCGTGGTTGCACTGCTTACTCAATTCACAACACAGAAAGTGCAAGTCAAACCTGGACGAAGCATTTGGCAACCACTGCTTGAAAGCTAGGCCAAAAATCGTAGGCGCTAACACCACCTGACGCGGTCAGTGACAAATGTTTCAGGGCCTGGGAGGCCTTTGAATTCACTTCCTCAACACGACACGACACAGTGCGCCTTAACGGTGGAGAGGACGATCCCAATCGCATCCACTGAAACAACGGTTCCTAAGATGCGTTGGGCCTTAGCTGCGCACTCCAAAACCTATGCACTCTTGAAGCCCGCCTGTCGCCTAAAGACCAAAGCGTTCTGAACTTCTTGGTCGAGGTCCGTCACTTCCAAAGAGTTCAGTGCATCTCTACAAACCCTGAGCAACTTGCAATCAGAGGAGTAGCGACGATGCACAGGAGCGTTGTCGACATTGTCATAAGCACGCTCAACGCCACATCACCTCCAGCCTGCTGAGAAACTTAACAAATGCAATTGCACATCCCAAAAAGTGCGTCGCAAGTTCGTCGTGCCATTTTCACTAAGAACTTGACAATCAAAGTGCACAAATTCGAAGTATGTCCACCATTGATGGAGCCAATCAGCACAAGCCCGGCAAGGGTTGGTGCATTTGCCCTGCCAGCCAAAAATTATGAAACATGGAGAGCTTGCGCTACCAGCTCCCCTGCAAACGAGCCGCTTTATCAGCAACGCCAGAAAATAGGCCAGCGCCTGGGTCGTGTGTTTCCCTCAAGTTTCATCCTTTCAGTTTCAACTCAGGTCATTGCTGGCATGATCATGAAGCAAGCGCAGCTGTTGATGACCTCCGATTTTTGAACAGGCTTGACATTGATTCAAAGCCAACGGCCGCCACATTCAACAAAAACCACAATCGAGATTGCGACCACTGCAAGCCAGCTCTTCATACTGGACCGAAAGTCCTCTACACTTGTAGTCAGACCTGAGAAAACGAGACGCACAAAACACGCACATGTGCGGTGACAGTCTTCGGCTGCTACCAAGTGGCCAACACTAAACATCAATAAACCTAACAGCCACGTAAACCACTCTGGCTTCACCCACACAAAGGTCCTTGGCTCAAAAGACTTGCAACGCCCGGTCATAACCAGAACGCCACCACCGCGCAACTCCGGAAGTAACATTCTCTGGTCTGCCATGGCTCGAACCACCAAGCGGCTCTCATAAGCACGTTTTTCATATGGTGTGGTGTGCGGTGCACATACTACTGGGGAACGAGGGCCTACCACGGCTGAAAAACGTTCCAACGAAGCAGCCGCAGTACATGCGGATATCAAAACTGATTACCATGGACAACCTCCTATGACTGATGATCGGATGATTGACTTCTCCTATTGAATTCTCCTTTCTCAGTCCCGTCGGACCTAGAACAGTCCTTCGTGTGTCCATCTTCCAGTGCTTCTGACTACAGATTAAGCATTGCTGAAGACGAAACAACATTTCAACACATCAAAGCCGAGAACGGGTATATACTGCAATATAAGCCATGAATGTTGTTTACTTTTACTTATACCCTTTCAGAAGTTCTGTTCCTTCCAACGTCCATAGCGCTGCAACCGGCGGTGCGTTGCCATCGTCCCGACTTTTGCGCGCGCTACCTTTCAAGGTCAGCTCAGGGCATTCGATGAGCAAAAGGCCGTTGGCTACAAAAGAAGCAGCAGGCGACATCGCAAGCGCCGTAGCCAACAAACCTGGAACAAGTCCTTTCTCTTCTCAGCTTCACGCAGCTGACGGACACTTTTTTCTTCGTCTTCGGTTCGTCCCTGTTCTTTTCGTCTCATTCAGCATGTCAGGATCGCACTCTAAATGTAACTTACATGTTCTTTGATTTTGATTGTCAAAATTGTAATGTATCAATTATTGTTTAACCGTCAAAAATGTAATGTTACATTTTCGACCCCACAGCTTACATTGTTTCATTGAAAATTCACGGGAAATATGACACCTGTAGACCCCCCTACCACGTTCAGGCAATTTTTGCTAAGTTACACTTTTTGCTTTTTGAGCCCGTATACTGAACATGATGTAACATTAATTGTTGAAGGCTTTGTCTCTTTAGTAGATTCATTGCATTTCTTTTCATTTTGCATTAAGTTCATATATATAATCCTTTCATGCTCCTTTCATGTTGCATGTATGTCTATTAATTTTCCTTTCATGGTGTATTCATTTCCTTTCATATGCCTGTCATTTTCCTTTAATTTTGCATTGATGTCCTTTCATGTTCCTTTCATAGTCTATTGATGTCCTTTCGTGTTCCTTTCATTTTGCATTTATGTCCCTGCGTGTTCCTTTCGTTTTGCGTGTCCTTGAATTTTCTTCTCATTTCGCACTCATATCCAACCATTTTCCTCTAATTCTGCAGTCATTTCCCTTCATGTCCCTTTCATTTTGCAATCACTGCCTGTCATGTTCCTTTCACGCTGCATTCACGTCCTTTCATGTTTTCCTGTCATTGTGCATTTAGTTCCTTTCTGTGTCCTGTCGTTTCGCATTCATTTCCAAATAGTTGCTTGAATGTTGTTGTCATTTCCTTTCATTTTGCAGTAATTGCCTGTCATGTTCCTTTCATGTTGCATTCATTTCTCTCTCATGTAGAAATATGAAAAACTGTAACATTAAATGCTGAAGGCGTTGTCCTATCATTTTGCATTAATTTCATTGCATTGGCCTAAATTAGTCGACTCTTTCCTTTCATGAGTCCCTTTCATGTTGCATTCGTTTCCTCTCACAAAAAATGTAAAAATGAAACGTAAAATGCTGATTTGCGCATGTATTTCCTGTCTGTGTCTTTCGTTTCGCATTCATGTCCAAATAGGCTTCTTTGAATTTTGCAATCAGTTCTTTTCATGTTCCATTCATTGCCTGTCATGTTCCTTTCATGTTGCATTATGTTGCATTCATGTCCCTTCATGTGCCTTTCATTTTGCAATCGTTGCCTGTCATTTTCCTTTCACGTTGCATTCATTTCCTCTTATGAAAAAAGAAAAATGTAACATTAGATGCTGAAAGTGTTTCCCTTTAGACATCTCCTATGATTTTGCATTAATTCCCGTGCACTGTCCTTTCATGGTGCATGAATTCTTTCATGTTTCTTTAAAGGTGCATGCAAAATGTAACATGTAACATTAAATGCTGAAGGTGTTTTCCCTTCAGAATTTTCCTGTAATGTTGCATTCATGTCCTTTATGTTCCTTTCATGTTCCTTTCACGTTCCTTTCATTTTGCATGTATTCCTTTCATGTTCCTCTCATGGTGTATTGATGTCCTTTCATTGTCCTTTCATTTTGCATTGATGTCCTTTCATCTTCCTTTCATTGTGCATTTGTGTCCTTTCTGTTTCCTTTCGTTTCGCACTCATTTCCAATGATTGTCCTTTATTTTGCTGTCATGTCCTTTCATTTTGCAGTCATTGCCTGTCATGGTTCCTTTCATGTTACATTCACTATGAAAAAACAGGTAAAATGCAACTTTAAATGCTGAAGGTTTTTTCGCTTTAGACGTTTCCTATCATTGTACATGTTCATTATGTTCTTTCATGTTCCTTTTATGTTGCATTTAGTTCCTGTAAAGATTGCAAAAATGTAACATTAATGTCTGAAGGCCAAGATTTTATCCCTTTCGACATTTCCTGTCGTTTTGCAAAATCCTGACGCACAAACGTACACAAACACACACACACACACACAAAATGACGCCACCAAGCAAAAAATCAATAGGAAGAAAGGAAAAAGTAAAGAAGAGAAAAGGGAGAAAGCTCTAAAGGCAAAAGGAAGACACAAAAAGACATGGAGAAAGTGGAACCTCCAAAATGTAAGTTGCATGTTTGGAGGCTGCAAAAACAACAATGGTATGCACCTACAAAGGGAAAGATTTCATATGAAAGCCGGAGAACCAAAGATGCATACGGGGCAAACAGTCAATAAAGTGCTCACGCAAGGCCCCTACGGTCAAATGGCAACTGAGAAGGAGGGAACATGGGAAGACATGAAGAAAATTAAGAAACCAGCAATAGAATGAAATACGGCAAATGATTCTCACGAGCGGCTTAGTCAGGAACCGGGTGTTGGCCTAGGGCCTAGGGCCCAATGGTATCTGGGAAGAAGGAAAAAGTAAAAAGGAGAAAATGGAGAAAGGTCTAAAGGTGGTATCTGGGAAGAAGGAAAAGTAAAGAGGAGAGAAGGGAGTCCACAAAGTGCATAAATTGTTGTGACTCCCGTAACCATAAATACAGTACGTCGCTGTGCGCATTCCAAGAATTCAATGTTTTGCGCACGCCAAGAACTCAATGACTAAGCTAAGTGAAAGTGCAGGTGTGCTCAATCAGGAACAAAAGCCAACAAGTAACTTCCCAGCCAAGACTCCAGCGATCCACCAAGCGCAACAATGTACAAAATTGTACAAACAAACTGCTCGCTTGCATTCGAGTTTCTCAGGGAAAGCAATCGCAAGCAGCGTCACACCAATCAGCCAAAGAACGAAGTGCTCGTTAATTTGAGAAACAATCCTTATGGCCGTGGCTAGTAGGATGAAAGCATTGGGCTCCTCTACCGACCTACCGACTCCTGATTCATCACATTCGAAGTTTGTGGGAAATCAACTCTGTACATGAGCTCTGCAAAAATGGAAGCAGAAATTGTGGAGGTTTGGTTTTGCGGCCAGACTAGCCTGCGTTTGGCAAAATGCGCAATCACTTCAACCCTGCAACTGCAAAAAACAACGGGCGTCAAGACATACAGGGCACCCCATGTTGTCCTAAGCTACTGAATAGGTTCAACTTACGTATGCCCTGTACTGATTACCCGTTGATACAACAAGTGCTGTCTTGAAACACAAAGAATTAAACACACAAACCTTGAAAGAAGAACATTGTAAACAATAAAACCCTCGGTACGCAAGGAGCTCTCACAACAATAGAACCAGCATGATAATATCACACTGAGACTTTCAGCCAGGAGACCTCTCAGCAAGCTTGACTCCCTGCACTCTGGCAAAGACACACCAAACAGCATTTACCGTCAATGAAAGGCACGTTACGCTGAAACGTTCCCTGGCCTTGCTGGAATCTACAGAGCTCCTTGATAGAACAAGGATTTGCTTGCTTCCTCTTCCTCCCAGACCGGCTGCTAGAACTGCCAGGACAGCTCGGCTGGAAGTTTGGCACCTTCGCGGCGGTCTTTGCCAAACCGCCAAACCACCAGCTGGTCTTTGCGGAGTTTGCACGAGGCCAACATGGGGCTGGACATGTGCAAAGCAAGCCATCAATGTACTCGTACTCACATCTGTGCGCCTAGGTGTAGAGCTACGTAGGTTTGCAAGGGTGCACAGGTGAAAGCTTGGAGTGATAATCCAAGGCAGCTTGACTGGAGCTATTCAAATTGGGGCAAGAATATTGCTAAAGCTTACCTATATGAGGTACGGTGAGAATCTATGATGTGTGGTTGTTGCATCGTTATATTTGTGAGTCCCATCTTTTCCCTTGTTTAAGGGTATCTTTTTCTTTGTGACTCTGACTCCCCCGTCGTTTGCCAGAGCATGTGAACGCAAAGCTCTTGTGCAATTGCAATGATCATCGCAAATCTTGAAGGCACTTCATATATAGAGACTTGAAGATTGGCTCCGTCGTCGCTTTTTCAGGATGTGTGAGGCGCTCAGGTTCAGTCACATTTGTGGCTGCGGCCTCCAGCCAAATTTGAATCTGTTTGCCAGTGGATTGCTTTGCCTTTGAACAATAGATTCAATTGACACCTGAGGAATTGTTTTGAACTGATCCGCTCTTCATCCAACGGCAGCATTCCGAGACACTGAGGTGAAACGTGTCCATGCTCAAGCAATGTGGACAAATTGCAAAGTGGCAGAACGCTTAGTAGCAATTTGACAAACACAGTGTCCCAGTCAACTCATTGCAACTTTCAATTTGGATACATGCGCCTGCCAGGCACTTGCTGCCCAAATTTTTGGCTGCAAACCTCACAGCGCTGCCGCGCAAGCCTCGCGAAAGTGTCTGTCGTTTGATTCTCTTTGACTTTGTGCTGTGCATCAATGTGAATCCAGACCACTCCACTCCACTCCACGGTGACGTCACATTGACAAGCCTGTTCTTTGCCCTCTGCAGCTCCCTGAAATCCACCATGACCCAAGGACGCCATGTAATCAATCACAAGCCCCACTGGCATATCTGGAAAGCGGCCTTGCCAATCCTGCAATGCGCTTGTGAGATTGCATTCTAGCCTCTTTAAATCTCAAAAAGTCTGCGTTCATGGTGCACCACCTGCACACGCGCGTGTAAACATGGAGCGAGTGGTGTGGCTGCCTGCGCGCCTCACGTTTCACAACAAGAAAACTTTTGGGCGGTGGCGGTACCCATGCGGTGGCCCGATGTAACTGCCACCCGGAGCCTGAGTGCCAAAAAATATATGTATATAGTACTTACCTATATATATATATACATATATACCTGAGGAGGGAGGAGACGAAAGCCAGCCCTTGTAGGGACTGAGAAGTCAATATATAATATATTGTTGTTACAGGGTGAAGTCGAAGCCGCATGAAGGAACAAATAAGCAAGTTCACATTGAGGCTCGATATGAGAGAGCTTATATACACAAGGCCTTTACTAACCCCCATCCACTGTCATTGGTCATAGGATAGGCTTGGATCCCATGCTCTTGTACAAGTGTCCAACTCCCTTGGACATTTGTGCCCTTCTCTACCGGCTTAGGGCCAGCTTCATGCAGAAAAGGCACCCCCCGGCCCCACACATTATCCTTAGACTGCGGAAACTTTTCCAGGAGGACTATTGCACTCAACCTTGCCAATCAATCTGCTTACAGTAAATATAAAAGGCTAGGTCAAGCACTGTGACCGCAATCAGTGATTTCAACTCAGCTACTAGAGCAACGAAAGTCAAGCGCTACTGTCCTTTCACTGGTCGCTGATTCGGAGTTCTCTCCACCAGCCGGAATCGGTCACCGCGGCAGCCGGAAGCCGACGCAAGCAAGAAACCCGCTGCAGACTCCCTGCAACGCATGTTGGTACTGCAATTGCGGGCAGATGGCCATGATGCAAAGCAGCAGAGTCAAGCCAAGCCTTCAGATCCCCTGGCTGCAGCCTTGAGTGGGGTTTGGACTCTCAAAGCGAGGCGAGCGGAGGCATCAGAGGGTGCGCGTGCAGAGGCTTGGTCTTTCTGGACCCAGTGGCGGTCGACTTTGGGAAGACAAGCCTGGCATGGTTGTTAACAGCCCTTCCGGAGCCTCAATTCTCGCTCATGCAGCGCAATTGCGTGAGACAGAGCATGACTGCTTTTTCGAGGCTGGCAGCAGCGAGCTGGGTGGGAGCAAACGTTGCGAAGACTGCCAATTCCTATCTGAAAGATCAGGGCACCAAAGAAACCCAAGACGATCCAGACAAGCCAAAGAAGCAGCCTTGTTGCCTGAAGAAGAAGAAGAAAAAGAAGAAGAAGAAGAAGGAGGATGGAGAAGGTGAGCAGGGGAGCCGAAGATTGAGGAGGATGTTTTTCTGATTGATTTGGCTAGATCCGTCCGACCCCAGGTCAAAGGACAGAACTTCCCTGATACAATTCAGTGCGTTGAACTAGTGGTGGCTACCCTTCAGAGTGTCCGAGAGTGTCCTGATTTGGGGCATTTTTTGGTCAGGAGATTGCAGCCTGTGAATTTCCGTAGTGGTCCGTCTTCTCGAGGAGGAGATCTTTGGCCATGTCCTCGATGGACATTGACATCCGCCTCAGTTCAGTTTCTCCGCGCAGAAGGAAGCGCTTTGCAGCATCTTGTGAGAATACTTTGGGCTGCAGCCGATCGCCTCCGGAGTGCGCCAGGGTGGGCTACACTATGACACCTGCTCAGATGGAGATGATCGAGCGGCTAGAAGATTTGGTTGATTATATATTTATTGAAGTGCGGCGAAGTGTCTTTGACGACTCTTGGCAGAACCGGTGAGAAAGTGAATACAGTAAATCAAGTGCTTTGGCTTTTTCCCTGAAAGAGTCTTCGAGTGTTTTTGACTTTGATGACATCTCAAGTTTAGGGCTCCCTAACCCCTTTTTCTCACGCAACTGGTGAGGGCGTTCAC